ACTCCGGCCTCCCCCTTCTCCTCCCCTCTCCTCTCCTCCCCCAGCGGCCAGCAGGTGTCTGTGTGAGGAGAAAATAGGAGCTCTGTTCTCCACTGTCCCGGGAAATGAGCTGGAAAATGAGGGGCGGGCGGACCACTCCTCCTTCTCAGGACCCGCTGCTCTGCTCTGCGGGCTCGCCGCTGTCCCCGACCCTCTCCATCCTTGTTGTTTGAATACAGCTGCGACGTATGAATTTAACAGCTTCTTAAACAGGCCGGCGATCTGTCACTCTGCTCCCCCTCCCCTCCGTCCCCTCCCTCTGTCCAACCCAACCTGACCTCACTTGACTGGCAGAGCTCAACTCACTCAGTCCTTCATTCAAACTCAATCTGCTTTCAGACCCTCTCAAAGCCTGTTTTATAGGCAGAGGCCTTGTCGACAGCTTTAAACCCAATATTCTCTCACTAACGCCACAATCGACCGAGTGTTGGAGGATTAGGGTCTCTTCATGTTGTCATTATGTTGTTATCTGCAGCAGATGAAGTGGCTGTAGATCTACTCTCTGTGGCTGTAATCTGATTCTACAGGTTTCATTATTATCCAGTCAGCTTTGGAGACCAGTTCTCACTCCTATGTCTCACTCACTTTTATCTGAGTTTGTTTAAGTTACTGTGTTTTCTTCTGCAGAGACGGTCTGCAGAACTTTTGAACTTACACTGTATGAGTATTTTCAAGGTGAAACTTATAGCTGATGAAAAAAGGCAATAAGACAGTTTTTCTGATTGTTGCAAACCCATAAGTACTGAATGAATACGTAGAGACTCCCTAGTTCTAGGTGCCTTACATTTCAGCATCTGTTTTCATTCGTTTTTACAACTTTATTTGTTTCTTATTGCCTTTATTGTTTTACGATTTCTAGAATAATATGCCTCTTTCTGTCTATGAATCTGTTTAGCTGCTAGTGTGTAAATTTTTGCATCCCTGCAAGCTAAATGTCTTGTGCAGGCCAAAAAAGATTGAACTTAATAAACTATTTCAACCTGTAGAGATAAAACTACCCAATATTTCACTTGAATATTGGAGAAAAAAGAGAAGAAAACCCTTAAAACAACCTTTCGAATGTGTCTTGTGATCCAAACAAACCTGCAAAACACTCAAAATCCCTTCTGTATTGAGTATAAAAGTAAGTGAGTCCCTCTTGAAGGAAGACAGACTGACCTGAACTGAATTATTTCAGCCAGAAGAGGTAAAACTATCTAATATTTCACAGTGAAAAAGAAAAAAAAAGAAAAATTCTACCCAAAAATACTGAAATTTTGTGTTTTTTCCAGTCATATGTTGATGTTTTTTTCTGTAACTCATCTCCATCAATCCATCCATTATCTATATATCGCTTAATCCTCACTAGGGTCGTGGGGGGCTGGAGCCTATCCCAGCTGACTCAGGGTGAAGGTAGGGGACACCCTGGACAGGTCACCAGTCCATCACAGGGCTACACTTAGAGACAGACAACCAAGCACACTCACATTCACACCTACAGACAATTTAGAATCACCAATTAACCTCAACATGTTTTTGGACCTTGTGGGAGGAAGCCAGAGAACCTAGAGAGAACCCACGCTGCACGAGGAGAACATGCAAACTCCACACAGAAAGATCCCAGGTGTCCTCACACGAACTGGCGACCTTCTTGCTGCGAGGCAACGATGCTAACCACCGCTCCACCTTGCTAAATCATCTTCACAATCCTTTAAATGTATCTTGTGATAAACTAACCTGCAAACCCCTGGATTAGTGATTTTAAACAGTGAAAGTCAATATTTTCAAACATCTTCAAAATCTCAAATCAGATCATAAAAAGCGTGAAACGGTCTGTGGGCTTGTGCAGTCTCAGCTACATCACACCCACATGTGGTTTATTTCTGATTCAGAGAGTGTGCCAGTAAACCTCACAGTCTCACAGCTTTAATAGCGCATCATCAGCAGTAAAAAGCAAAAAGATTTAATTCAGACCAAACTTTGCAAAATCCTAAAAAGGTAATACATATTACTTTATGTCTTTGCAATGTATGTGCAGCTTTTCTTAGTTTACTCAAGTACAGTAACCAAATACAGCTTTCAGACACTTGTACTCGACTCTTCCTTGCTTCTGCTCCGTACATCTGAGAGATTAATATGTTTACTGCACTACATTTATTTTACAGTCATAAATAATAACATTTTGTAGTTTAGAAAAATTCACGAGCTCAAAAAACCCGATGGATCATTTTGCACAACTGTATGAAAACGGTTGTTGCTTCACCCAGACTAACTAGAATAAAGTTTTGTATACTGATGTCATACTGCTGCTGTTTCTCTGCATTGTGTGTACTTCTAAAATTAATTTAGCAAAACGACATTTAGGAACTTTTTTAGATTTTTAATGGAGCTATTTTAGTATTCAAGTGTTTTAATGGCATCATTGCAACTTTTACAGAAGTATCTGGATTCTTATTTAACCACAATATGTCTGATAAAATATGAATATTTACAGGATGTCTCTAAATATAATATATGTATATAATACTATTTAAAGTTGCTTTTAAAAGTGATGCCCATGGGAGAAAAAAGTTTGAAAAAGTGATGTTAATGTTACATATGAAACATCTTGTAGCTGTAGCTGGTGAAAAATGGACGTCCCTTCTTTGTTAAACACCATGAATTATTGATGCTCAGCTGAAATCAAGTCGAGGTTGATCTGTCACTGCGGCCGTCCATTTAACTCCCATTTGCAACATGAGCTGCCACTGAAGCCTTAAACGTGTGAAAAGCCACCTGTAACGACTGTGTCAAATACAATCTGTATTCTCCGCTGGCGAGTCGACCCTATTGTGGCTGTCAGCCTCTCCCCCGGGGGACGGGCTGAAAAGTGTGTCTTTACCCCATGAATGTGTGAGGAGCCACAGCAGGCAGAAGGCCAGGAGGCTGCTGTCTGACACTGATTTGTAAAAGGAGACAATACGGCTCATTGACCTGCAGGCTCCACTGTCTGTTGCACATACCTCGGCCGGCCCTCCCCGCTGGCTGCACTGCTCTTTAAACACGAGCAGCAGATTGCCTGAGGCTGAGGGAGGGACGGAGGCTGACGGGTCGCAGGTTGCTTTGACAATGAGAATCCTCAGAGAGCAGACACGGAGCCAGAACTTTGATGAACACATTTACAGAGAGAGAGAAAAAAAAACATGATTTTTGCCACCTTTTTTCTTCCCTCTGTGAGCAATAAATGATTAATGGTAATAAATACAGGACTAAATCAGTATTAGAGGTTTCAGATTTTAATGTTTCTTCCTGAATTCTTTTATTTTTAGGCTGCATCACGGCAAGTAAAAGGTTTAGGGGAAACTAAATCTGTTTGCATCCTTTGCTAAAGAGCAGGGCTGCAGCTAATATTTATTTTCTTCATTGATTAATCTGTCACTTCTTTTCTACACTATACTGATTCTCTGTTTGGTCTGCATTGACGTTTTTCTGTTTCCGCCACCTTTGAGTTTTAAGGTAGAGTGCGGTGGTTTTAAAAGTTTTGCTTTTAAAAAATGACAAAAATGGTAAATCCCAAAATAATACCTTTTTTGTTTTTAACAAACATTCAATAGCTCAACAAAACTTGTTCTGTCAAGAATTTTTGTTAGAAATGTACAAAAAGTCACAAATACAATCAAAAGGGCCAATATAATCTTTTAATGCCCAAAGTGATGCCTTTAAATACCTTGTTTTGCTTTTTAAAAATTACACACACATATATCCTCTCTGTATTATACCATGTATAAAGGGATTTGTAAAACAAAAAAAGAAATCTACACATTTTTAGAAATAATAATATCAACAGGATTTGTAAAAAAAAAAAAAAAAAAGGAAGAAAGAAATCTACACATTGTTAGAAATAAAACTTTTAAGTCCTTTGCTTAAAAAAAATATGTTGACTGTAAAAAGAAATGCACACATAAAACTGTAACTAATGCCTGCATTAAAAAAATCTGTAATCTAAGAATAAATTATTGAACTTTATTCCTACAGAGCATTTGACAAGAAAATTCCACTATTTTACTATATTTAAATAACTAAAAAATATGAATATTGTACAGATATTTGTTGTTATTTGAAAGAAGAAATGAGTTTAAGGATCAAGGACTGTAAAACAGTAAATTTTTTTCTACTTTTATTAAACAGATTTTCAATTTTTTTAAATTTACAGATATTATCTGGTAAAATCTAGAAACACCTTCATTTTACAGATATGTGTTGTTATTTTCACCATTTCTACACTTCCACAGTTATAGAACACTTCATTATTCCATCATCTTTAACATCTGGCAGCCTTAATGCCAGGATAGATACAGTATCTCTTTATGCAAAAAGTTAGTAGCCATATGAGAAAACGACTGAACATCATAACTTGTGGATGTTTATTTATCGGCAGGCCTCAGCATCCATCCAGCGCTCTGACGTGTTTCCTCACGTTGTAAACAAACACCCTCCTCCTTTTGTCCTCCAGGCCCATTGTCAGAGTCTGGAGGTGACCTTTCCTCTCCTCTCTCTCCCCTCGCAGCCTTTTCTTTTCCTCCCTTCTCTCTTTCAGTGTCGAAGACAAGCTGTTGCTCTGCCACTCCCTCTCTTGTCTGCTCCTCGTTCCTCCTCCCTCGCCTCCCTCTCCTCACCCCTGGCTCTCCTCCTTTCTCCCTCTCCCCACCTGTTGAAGCAATTGTTGCTGCGACCTTATTGTTGGTCGTCTTATTATTTTATGTCACTCCCCTCTCTGTGGTGTTTTCCCTTCCCTCTGGACCACTCCCTCTCTCCCTGCCGGGTATAAAACCCAGAGAGGATAATGAGGAGGGATATTCAGCACCTCAGGAAGAGTCAGATCAACAGGGGGAAAGCAGGATCTGCTTCATTCACCTGCAAAACATAAAGTTCCTACACGAGGACAGCAGCAGGCCTTACTTTGCTCCCCCTCTTGGACATATTTTACCCAGCAGGCCGTGCAGATGGACAGAGGCATGTCAGTGTCTCTGTGGTGTGAGGAGGTGGAGGACGACCAGAGTCAGGATCAGAGTGAAGCTCCACCTCAGGGCCGCACCGGGGGCCCGACTCTGCTGCGAGCCGCCTGGGACCCAACGGTGTCGGGGCACCGGGTCATCCAGAGGCTGCTCCACGTGGAGGAGAGGTACATGCCCTCCATGCTCTACATCACCCTCATCCAGCGGGAGCCGGAGCGCAGGGAGGAGCTCGCCAAGTGGGCCCTGGAGGTATGAAACCTTTTGGGTTCTCCTCGAGGTGTGTCAGGGTTTTGAGTTACATGATGCTCATGTCTTTTATGTTTTCGTCCTCCTGCAGGTGTGCTGTGACTGTGGCTGCGATGAGGCGGTGTTCCCGCTGTCTGTCTCCCTGATGGACAGGTTTCTGTCTGCGTCTCTGTCCCTGCCTGTCTCGCTGTACTGTCTGGCAGCCGGCTGCATCCTGATCGCCTCCAAACTCACAGAGTGCGACAACGTCACCGCTGACAGCCTCTGTGCTGCAGCAGAATACAGCTTCCAGCCCTCCAACCTACGAGTGAGTTCCTGTCACAGCTGTGGAATCAAGTGGTTATCAGTTTGGCTGATTATCAAATCCAATATTCTGAATTTTATCGATTATCAGTATCATCATTGTCTTTAACAGATTTCTGATGAAACTAATTACTTGAACAATGTGCTGCTATGGTTCTGATGCAACTGCTTCTCTCTAGTTTAAGTCACTCTGAGATTTGACACCAAGATACTTGTTTTTTTTTGCAAATATATATTGATTCCAAATCAATATTGGTTATATAAATGATATATGGTTTTCGGTCTACTTGATTACTAGGAATCAATGTTGATATCTGCAGTGGGGAAAAAATACATTTGTTGACTATTAATTCAAAGGTAAGGTCATAATAGACACCTTACTCAAGAGATTGTGAGTTTTTCCATTTTATAGTTTCATCACTTTTAATATGACTCTTCTTGCAGTGAGCAGAAAGTTCATTACATCCATTGAATGTTGATTTAAATGTGGAATTTCTCATTTTTCACCTTTCAATGTTGGTTTTAATTTTCACGGGAACACATTTGAGAACAATAGTAAAACTGATAAACGTTAACAAGCTGAACTTCAACACTAAACTGCTCTTCTCCATCAGGAAATGGAGCGTGTCATCCTCGCCACCCTCCGCTGGGACACAGCAGCAGTGACCCCTCAGGACTTCCTCCCACATTTCCTGGCCTCCGTGGAGGAGATGGGACACGGAGGAGACTCTGATGAGGAGCTGATCTCCACCCTGAGGCGGCACAGCGACACCCTGGCTGCCATGTGCGCCTGCGACTCCCGCTTTCTGGGAGCTCCCCCATCACTTGTTGCTGCAGCATCACTGAACTGTGCACTGCGAGGCCTCGGCAACAAAGGCCCCACACAGCTGGCTCTGAGGAGTGAAGCACTGGCTGAGCTCTGCCAGACTGAGCTGGTGAGTGAATTCTGAGTCTACAAGGTTGCCGATAGACCAGTTTGTTTGAATTAAATGAAGTTTGATTGTAGGGTTTTATTAGTTTGAAGCTGTCCTGCTTGCTTTATGCTCATCTCAAATGCAGGAAGACACTTGCAAGTATCACAAAAATCATTAACGTCCTCTGTCTTGCCTCCCAGGCGGTGCTGCAGTGCTACAGCGACATGATCGAATACGCCCTCCGACAGCGGCTGAGCAGTGGGCTGCAGCAGGGTCCCACAGAGAAGGGCGAGGAGGTGGAACAGGAAAGGCCTGGAACACCGACTGACATGAGAGAGATTGATTTCTGAACACTGAATCAGCAGCTGCATTGAAAGTGTGAATCAATCAAAACCCTTTAAGTTCATCAGTCAAACTGATATAAATTAACCTCACGATGCTCTGTCACGCCTTTATATATAATTTTAATGACTTTATTGAGTTTATTAATTTATTTCTTGCTTTATTTATTTGTGAACAGTGTGTTTTCCATGTGCCATATTTGAATATCTATTTCTATTAATTTTATTGTAGCCCTAGATGTTATTTTGATGCATATTTATACTTTTTAATTTATTATCACGTGCAATTGTTAATTTATTTCAATTTGCCATAATTTTGTGTTTGTGTAAGGAATTAAATATAGAAACAAATCTATTTTTCAGAGGTATTAAAAGCATTTGTACAGAAAGTATTTTGGGTTCTTGTATTATTTACCAAAGGAATGATGATGCCTTCAAGTACTAACCGTAAGTATACGGGTTTTCTCACTTGTGTGTCAGTGATCACATGTGTATTCACTTTTATTGCATAAAGTTTCTACTTCGGAGCCTTTCTTTTCCAAATAGTCTTTTTGAAGTATTTGGTTTTGGTTGTTCATAAAAGAAGATACAGAACTGTTCAACTTAGAAATAATGTGATTATTGAGAGGTTATACGATTTAAAACCATTTGATCTTTGAGTAATATTGCAGAGTGCATCTTTTCATTTATTTATTTATTTCACTATTTTTCCCCCTCTAACTTGAATTTCAAGTTAATGACTCAATAGCTATTTCATTTTCAATTTTATTTTCACAATAGTAATTTAGACTTTCTTTATTTGTCATTGCAGATTCACACAGTTCACATCAGAATGAAATAACGTTGTATTAGGCTGGAAAAAAAAACAACAGAGACAAAATAGGGATTGTATATGTAAAAATAATAAATAAGTAAAAAGAAAAAAAGGTGTAAACAGAAAACATAAATGAAAGAAACACTGAATAAATGCTATATAAAACACTATATTTAAATATATTGCAACTTTCTGCTGAAGCTCCAGGAAGTTTAACTAATAATTAATGTGCAGCATTTGTTATAATGATTTGACATAACTTACACAATCACAACTCAACAATAATGACAACGCCACCGCTTATCGTTAGTAAACAAATGAAGCGTTAATTATTTCCGACGGTCCCTGAAGGCAGCATGTTGGACCGTCCGGTGCTGCATTCTCGTGACGTCTATTTTATCCGACGCAGATTCAGTTCGTGCCTGGAGGATTGGATCAGATATTAAAAACACACCTGCGGTAAGAGACCGGCTATTTAAAGATTATTTATCTGCGTCACAACAGATTTTTATTGTAGCTTTAATATCTGTCAAGAATAAATGTAGAATTCGTTAAAAACAGGGAGATATAAGGGAGAGCAGTGCGAGACGTTTCTATAGCTTCCAGCTATGGTTATGGTGAACAGGAGCCGATATATCACCTGTAAACGAACCAGTACCGTTTAAAATTGTGTAAAAATCTAATATTAATTCAGGTGTATCGTAGGTTTGCTCTCACATGTGATCTCACCTACAGAAAGATCCTCTTTCCTGTTGAATTCTGATCGCGCTGTAACTAATCACTCTTCCGTATCCGTGTAGTTCGTCTTTAAGCTAGTTAGCTTATTAGCTACAGACACCGATAATACCGTATAATAGCAGTTATAATATATTCAAATTGTGTTATATTTTCCATTAAGTAACACGTGTGGCCTCTTGAGTTAAATTTATTGTGGTAATTCAGGTCGCAAAGGAGTTTTGACTGCGCCAATTTGATCATTACGCCAGACTCCATTGAGAAATCTATTATTACTGTTGTTTCCCATCAACAAAATACACACACATCAGATAATAAAAACTTATTTAGACTTTCTAAGATGCCTTTAGTCTGCTGGTTAATTCGGCATACAATATACACACCAGCCACCAACCAATGCACTGAAATTCAAAATCGACTGGCTCACTCACTATACAGGGTTACTAGCCCAGATGTTGAACTCCATCGTAGTTACTGACAGAATGGAGAAAAACATGATTCATAGTGTCAGGAGAAATAATCGGACCTCATTACTGGTGAAAAGACATCAGCTTCATTAGAGTTTAAAACTGGTACATCCTAAACTGTTAAAGAAGAAAACAACCTTCAACCTATCTAGTATTATAATCATGTAGTCCTCAGTGTTTTCAGGAAGCATATAATACCTAGAAATAATCAAAAACAGAAAAAGAAACACTATTTTAATACTTAGTGTGCATTAGGACTGCATGGCATCGGGGGAAAGATTTGTCAGTGCAGTTTTCTAGCTTTTAAATTCATGCTCAAATCACACATTTTATATTACAAAACACTGAGTCCATGTGCATCAAAATTAAAAATAATTTTAAAACAGCTGAGAAAAAGACCTTTGGATCGTTTCTCATATGGTGTAACACTGGCAAAGTCATCCAAAGTAGTTTTTTCGTTCAGATCAGCTCAAATTTCACTTTGCATACAGAGAGATGTTGTGCTGATTTGAATGGTCTGGTCTAGTCCCTGTTTTTAGTCAACATGATCTTTTCTGTAGCAGAAACATTTCCATACAGCCAATATTTGTTTTTGCAACCAAGGCCTCAAATTACAAATATCCAAATGCTACGCCCAATAATACCTGAAAGTGGACAATTTCTGAAGGAAGTCAGCACAATACAGTGGATACTGGTGTCAACTATCTTGTAGGAGAACTGACACTCTGTTGTTTTTTTGTTCTTGATGTTCATATTAAAGGAGGATGAACTTAAAACCTGGCTGGCTGCTGCTTCTAACCATCTCTGCTGGCGTCTGGTCAGTGCCCATAGAGCGCAATGGAGGCAACCAGGAGCCTAAAGAGGAAGTGCCAGAGGAGAGCATGGTAACGTCTCATTCCTTAATCTGTTGTTTTGTTTGAGATTTAGCCGAGATTCAGTTTGTTGTGAATAACCTGTCCTGTACAAATCACTGCTGCAGGACACTGGCCTGTACTATGACAGGTATCTCAGAGAGGTGATTGAGGTTTTGGAGACAGACCCTCACTTCAGGGAGAAACTGCAGACAGCGAACACAGAGGACATCAAGGTTAGCGTCCACACACACAGCCTCCACAGGCTAACAGATGTCATGACATTCTCGCCGTTGTTGTTAAACTCACCTGGACCTCTTGTGTTCGCCTTCAGAATGGGCGTCTCAGTAAAGAGCTGGACCTGGTCAGTCACCACGTCAGGACTCGGCTGGATGAGCTCAAGCGTCAGGAGGTTTCTCGTCTCAGGATGCTGCTGAAAGCCAAACTGGACAGCACCAACACTCAGAGTGAGTGGGCTTGTTTCCCTTCAGACCACTGAAAAGTGTCTGTTTTTAAACCTTTATGTTTAGAATAGTACTACACTTAATTATTGATGTTACAGATGGAAGCATACAGCACAGTAGCTAAATTATTTACTGCATTATATATATATCTATAATATAATATTTGTTGATTGGTGTAAATTGTACAAATTGTTTGCTACAGCATATAGAATGTAAAATTGTGACAAAAGCCTCAACAATTTGAATTACCAGAGCAGAAAGTGATCAAATTTATTCTAAATTACTCGTTTTTTGAGTGATACATACAGAGTGTAATGGAAGACAGGTCGGTGGTTGATAATTCATGTATCTGCTTTGCAGGCCTTCAGATGGACCACGCCTCGCTGCTGAAGCAGTTTGAACATCTGGATCCACACAATCAAAACACCTTTGAAGCCAAAGACCTTGAGCTGCTGATCTCAACGGTAAGATGCTGCAGCAATAAGTGAAAAGAAAGATTTTGTTGTAGATAGATAAAGTAGTGTCATTGTGCTGCAACACACTGCTCACTCCTACTATGATTGGAAGGTTTTGGAAAGTCTGAATTTTTTAATCATGTCAGATACCATCTGCGATAACTGTTGAATCTCCTAAAAAGTGTATCAGAGTGTTAATCGTTTTCGTTGAATTTCACTCCCACAACTGATCGCACCGTGTACCTTACCTCATGTTTGGATTAACAGCTTAAACATTTTTCAAGATGACAGCTTTTGCCTTACTGGCTCTTTGTCTAGGCCACCAAGGACCTGGAGAACTACGATGCCGAGCGACACGAGGAGTTCAAACGCTACGAGATGCTGAAGGAGCACGAGAGGCGGGAGTACCTGAAGGGGCTGGACCAGGAGAAGAGGGAGAAAGAGGAGAAGAGAATGCAGGAGCTGAAGGACAAACACCGCCAGCACCCCAAAGTCAATGCTCCGGTAGGCGGGAAATCCAGCCTTGTTAGCTTTTATCAGAAACAAATGGAACCAAACCATGTTTTTTATTCCCTATGTTGTATTTTCTGACACACAGGGTAGTGTCGCTCAGCTTCGTGAAGTTTGGGAGGAGACAGACGGGCTGGATCCTCAGGAGTTCAACCCCAAAACCTTCTTTAAACTGCATGGTAGGTAACAACTCATCCTTCTTAACCCTGATTCTTTGTCATTTCATACTGATGCGTTCAATATTGCTCTCATTTTTTTCTCTGATTTCATTAGATACAAATGAAGATGGTGTTTTAGATGAGCAGGAATTGGAGGCTCTCTTCACAAAAGAGGTAAACAATCCTGCAGTACATCACGAGTGCCTCAGTTCAGTTCTGATTTACTTGTTCAGTTTTAGTCTGAAGAGACAGCTTGATTTGTTATTTCAATATACAGCTGCTCTGCCTGCGTTCCTCTATTCCTGCAGGCTTTTTTAAAAGGAGAAGTTTGTAGTCTGACAGCAAACATATGCACGGCATCAGAGCAGCAGCTAACATCTGTTCATTTCCCTTTTCCAGCTGGAGAAGGTCTACGACCCGAAGAACGAGGAGGACGATATGATGGAGATGGAGGAAGAAAGGCTGAGGATGAGGGAGCATGTCATGAAAAACGTGAGTCTTGATTAATCACGTCTACCTCTATGCTCCTGCTTTCATCGCAAACCATCAGTCAGCTTTCACGTGTTCTCACTGGTGCGGCTTTACCTTCTTTTGTTACAAGGTGGATACAAATAAAGACCGGCTCGTCAGCCTGGAGGAGTTCCTCAAATCCACTGAGAAGAAGGAGTTCAATAATCCCAAAGAGTGGGAGGTAAAGAGCTCAGAGGTGGCCTGAAGGGTGGGGAAGTGGGCGGGTGATTGGAGGGTCTGTGGTCCCAGGACGAGCTGGGAAAGTGTGGGTGGTGAAGTCAAACGGGTACAGCTATCAGCTAGCACATTTGGAGATACTCTCTCAGAGGTGGCAGCTGTTTCATACTGTTATTTTGTGTGTACTTAAATGACCTGTTTACATAAGGGTGTGTGTGTAACTAAGGAGTGGGTTGGACATGAGTGTTATTAAATTAGTGTGAACAGTATAACTGGTATAACTGCGTAATTTAAATCTGGTTTTTCCATTTCTTCTCTCTACAAAATAAGCTTCAGTTGTTAAGTGCATTCCAAGCATCAGCAGAATTCACTGCATTCTTCAGCATGCAGCATCTGTGTCTGTGGCTTGAAATAGCATTGTGAGTGCAGGACAGATATTCCATGTGCTTAATTTGTATTATGTTGTGATTGGTATTGCTACAGTATTTAACAAAGTATGCAACTATGGCTGTGTGACAGCGGGTATAAACAAAGGATCAGGCTTAGGTCTACGCCAATATGGTTGAGTTGAAATTTGCCTTGATTGGCGCCTTATCCTTGCATCATTGCACACGTTATGCTTAGCAGATAGCCAGAACGGCACACTCTAAGGCTATGCAACCTCCAGGAGCCTCTTCACCATGCTCTTGCATTTGCACAAGTGGTATAAAGTTTGCAGAGACCCGTTTGTGCTGTGTGCAAAGCTGTGAACCTCCACGTGTCTTAACACCAATGGAGGGTCCTGAACAGGTGTTGGCAAAGAGGCTACCCATAGTACAGGTTTGGTTTCATGAGTAATCCTCAGCATGGAATTGAACCAGAGACTCACTCAACCCAACCACTTCCAACAATTGTGATTTTAACAAGTGAACATTGTGCATTTTACGTATGTGCCCCCTATTTCTCCCCAGACTCTGGATACCAAGCCGATGTACACAGAGGAGGAGCTCCAGCGATTTGAGGCTGAGCTCAGGGATAAAGAGGAGGAGCTGAAGAGGAGGGCAGAGACTCTGCGTCAGGAGCAGGAGCTGCTGAAGGAGAGAGGCAAAGCCCTGGAGGCCCAGAGGAGAGAATACCAGCAGGTAGCTGTAACAACACATCTGCCTCATGACATGTGAAAGTTAGAAATAAAGTGTATCCCCTGACAGAAGTTCAGTCACACAGGGATCAGGATTTCATTATATGAAGCCAACAATTAGTTTTTAGTCTGTAATAAGAGTGTAGTCTGCATGGATTTTAATACAAATGCTATTATTTTATTTTTTTATTTCAGGCAGTACTAGAAATGTCTCAGAGACAGAAAGAACAGCCGGCAGCAGATGGGCAGCCTCCTGCGGGTCCTAATGGAGAACTCCAGTTTCAAGCACAGACACAAAAGCCTGAAGACACAGGTAAACACTTTGTGACACATGCAGCGCTGTTGTTGTGTTGTGTGGACTGTGTTATGATTGTGTTTATTAAGTGAGTGCTTCTTCTTTCTCTTGCAGAGGCAAAAGCTCCAGCTGAACATGAACCTGAAGTCCAGCAGAATAATCTGCCCGCAGAGCCTCCACAGAATCTGCCTATACACACTTAATGCACTCGGACAGCCTTAACACACATACACACACGCAGCACGCACGCACACACACACACACACACACACACACACACACACACACATTTGGAGTTGCACTGACACAGATATCCAGATGGGTTCTGCAAACTGAATTATGTGAATACTGTGTGTATAAAATCCGACAGACCGGCTTGTTTATCATGACGTATTGTACTGTGTGCTCATTTCTGTGGTCTACATTAGATTAAAGATCTCAAAACAGCAGATATTAGTACATGTATTCTCAGAAAATCTTCAGTTTCAGTGAAACTGTCATTCATGCAGGGTCTTCAGTGTCAAATCACAAACATCCTCAAATAAAGTCCTTATTTAAAACCTCTAAACCTGTTGAACTCTGATTATTTGAGCAACAATCAGGTGGGAAAAAAAACAACTCGTGTCATTTTTCAATAATATATTCTCAACTATTTCTACTCTAAAATTAAGAAGTTGCTTGTCATATTACACAATAATTACAGGTAAACTGCTTGAAGCTTTACTCCTGAAGAGCTTCATCTTTCTGCATCCCACTTAGACAGAAGCTACATTGAACTTAGATGTAGTTCACAAAGTTCAGGTTTGACATTTTTCAATTGTGAATTATAGGAATTTTTCTGTTCTGATTTTTTTTTTTTAACCACAGCTTTAAAAAAAAAAAAAGAATGGTTACTCTCAATTTTAAAAAACAAAAGACAAAACAAAAAAGTAAATGTGTGGGCAGTCTGTAACCTCCACTGTTAACTTCTGTTTAATTTACAAAAATGATCATTTTTGCATTTGTATTTTCTAATATTCTAGTATTTTTTTCAGTGCTTAAAATGTAATATCCTCAAATCTATCAAAGGCGATTTTTTTTTTTTAGCTTGGTGAGAATTATTAGTATGTAAGTATTAACTTTGTTTAGTTGTCTCCTTTGTTTCCTTGTCTTGTAGTTTGACAAAATCCAGTTGAGCTCAGCTGTTGTGAAGTTTGTTTGATAGTCACATGATTTATCACAGTGGTGCTATAAGCCTGCAGACAGTTCAACTCATTCCTACTTTATTTTTGTTGCCCTATAGGGTCTTCATACACAGCAGTTTTATGATTGTTAATTATTATGGATCCAGCTTTTTCAATGTCAGGATTTGCTGTTGTTTTGTATTATCATGAACCAAATATTTTTAGATTTTGCACTGTTGATCAGACATAACTAGCCATCTTGTCACCTCAGACTCTTGCTGTTTTTTGGCATTACATTTAATTGCAGAGAAAAACACTATTATTCTACTAAGCCTATCATTTTGAAGGAACCATAATTGTAAGTATTGAACCTTTAGGGGTAGAGAGACAATAATCATTGTAGAAATAATTGACTCTACTTGAACTTAGTCTGTCAACAAAACAGAAAGCATGACGACTGTTAAAGTTACAGTGCAAAGAGTCGTCTCAACCCTCGTCCCATTTGCAAACACAAATCATTGGTTGTATGATTTAGGAAACTTGTTCTATTGACTTGAGATTGATTTGGTTTCATGAGCCGTGTCGATCTGCATGTCTGCATCATGGCTCCACAGAGCAAAGAATTATTTTAGAGATATTTAACTATGTGATTGTGAGAATTCACAAAGTTGGAAAAAGATAAGTGGAAACACAGTTGGAGCAGTAAGCATGAGGTAAAGAATGTTCCGCTAATCAGAGCTGCCGTGGTCCTGTTAAATTGACATCACTGAGGGTGCACTGTTTTCACAGTCTCCCTCTGAAAATGAGACGGGCGGGTGCTTCAGACTTGGCACAGGGGTTATAAACGGAAGAGTTTCTGTGACAGCTCAGACAGTGTGAAGGACAGTTCATTACAGCAACTTCTATAGACGGCATTCAAGGAAAGCTCTTTGGCACAAAACTGTGAGATGAAACTTTGCTAAAGAACATGAAACAAAGCCCGATGAATATTGGGAGCACGTTCTTTAGTCAGATCCAAACATGATTCATTTGTTCAGTTCAGATGAGGTCCAGTGTGTTTGATGTGAACCTGGTCAGAGCTACCACAGTGAATGCATGGTACTGACAGTGAAGCACGGAGGTCAGTGTGTGATGATATAGGGTTGCATGAGTGCATTTATAGATGGCACCAGAAATACATGTGGATAAACCATAATACTGGCTTATCTTTAGGGTACCTTATAGAGAATGGTAGGTCAGCATAACCCCTCCAGCAAAGAGCAGCTGAAAGATCCTCCAAGTTGAGGAGGACTGAGTCTGTCATCAACAATAAAGGTGGACATATGAACTATTGCAAAAAAGACAAGATTTGAATGTCAGTGATGAAAAGTGTACTGTCCTCTGTTGCATCGGGGCACCAGATCTACTGCAGTTTCACAGATGCAGGACTATCACAGTGAATGCATAGCACTGGCAGTGAAGCACAGAGGTGGGGATGTGATGATATCGGGCTGCATGTGTAGAAAAGGTGAAAACACATCTCTGCAGAAATTTGGTATCATCTATGCTAAGATGAATATTGTCTGTGAAGATTCTCAGTCATCCAGGTCATTGTTGTTCTCATAGTTTAATCATAACAACTGAACTTGCTTGAGTTTCTTGAAGACCTTTCACCTCTCATCCAAGAGGCTTCATCAGTTCTGACTGACCAGTTGGGAGTTCCAGATACTTATATCCTTAAGGAGCCATTAACACTTAAGTTTCGGTTTCAATTGGGGTTTTGTTGCTCCTCCCCCTTGGTATGCGACTTGTTAGTGCTCCCCCTGCCACAAAGGGGTTCGTTAAGGTCTTCTGTGGCTAGGTCTGAATGTGGTTTCATCTTCCTGGGGAGAGTTCTTAGGACTGAATGTAAACAAGTGAGAGGTGATGCCTCAGACCTCCACCTCTGCTGGGTGATGGTCTTTCCAGTTTGACATAGATGGCTTCTTTCACCCCTCTCTCAAACCATCTGTCCTCCCTGGCCAAAATCTGTACGTTGTTGTCTTCGAATGAGTGTCCTTTGTCCTTAAGATGCAGGTGGACTGCTGAGTCCTGTCCTGAGGAGCTGGCTCTTCTGTGTTGTGCCATGTGCTTGTGGAGCAGTTGTTTTGTCTCCCCGATGTACAGGTCTGGGCATTCCTCGCTGCACTGGACTGTGTACACCATGTTGCTCTGTTTGTGTCTTGGTGTCTTGTCCTTTGGGTGGACCAGCTTCTGTCTCAGGTGTTGGTGGGCTTAAAGTGCCCTGGAATGTTGTGTTTATTAAAAATCCTCCCGAGCTTCTCGGAAACTCCTACAACATAAGGGATGACTATGTTGTTTCGTTTCTTGGTCTTTATTCCACCTCATGGGTTTGGAAGGTCTAAGATAGGGGTCCCCAGGTCAAAGGTTGCTGAAGAAGAGCCGCCTCTCTGTCTAGAGTATGGGGCTCCCCTTATGGTATGAATCATATGTTCTTAGTTTTGCGTAAACAACCCCCTGTATAAGCCAGTGGTTAAGGTTATTCTGGAGGGTGGTTCTTTTTGGCTTCAAATCCTCTCACAGGCGTCTGAGATACTTGTTTCAATAAACCTTTTTATATATCAACAAGATGGTATCAGCGTAGAATTTCTTCATCACCTTCACATCATCGCTACTCAGTGAACAACAATACAAAACAATAAGGTGGAAATATGAAGTACTGAAAAAATAAAACATTTAAATCTCAGTAATGAAAGCTGTTCTGACATTAGTTGCATTGAATAGTATATTTTTTGAGATAGTACCTTTTAACAGTTAGATTTTAATTTCACAGAACAAATATCCTGCTGTTCAACTTGGAAATAATTGGAAGATACTGCAGAGGGGGGTACTCACTTCTGTTGTGTACTGTTCGTATTTATTTACAAGTATTTATTTACTTATTTATTATAATTTATTTGTATGTATGGCTGTTGTACCTAACCGTTTTCTTTTTTCTAATGTGTTATAATTTCCCTACAAAATGTCTATAAAGTGAAACGAAATAATAATAATAATAATAATAATAATAATAATAATAATAATAATAATAATAATAATAATAATAATAATAATAATATGTCAAATAACGTTTTTATGAAGAAAAAAAACACACATTCCGGGGCGGACTGGAGGGTCAGAACCAGCACTTCCGGGTCGCTGTAATAAATGTTTGGAGTTTTGTGTCCGTGTGAATCATGCCTCGCAGAAACGACATCTCCGAGGATTTGCGATGGAGAGTAGTTGATTTGCATCGAGCTGGGAAAGGCTACAAGGTGATCTCCAAGAGTTTAGACGTGCATCACTCCACTGTGAGGAAGATAGTGTATAAATGGAAGCGCTTCAGCACGGTGGCGACTCTGCCGAGGAGTGGGCGTCCTGCGAAGACGAAGAGCGCTCAGACAGCACGGAGGAGGCGGACACAGGTACAGGGGGGACTTATAGCGGCTCTGGTAGTCTGACAGCAAATCACTGAGTGCGCAAATACAGATTACAGCACATATCCTCACCTACAGTGCTGCGAACAAGTATTGGTCCTGCTGCAGATCATCTTTTATTTTTGAATGTCTTTGGATAAACCAAAACACTGGCTGATGACATGACTTCTGGTCTGCAGAAGGTTGGCAGGATGGAAATATTCTAGCATGAGGATGTAATGCACACAAAAATCTGATAAGAGTTTGCAAAGAAGAAAAAAGTGAAACTGTCAGCTGACTTGAATCCAATAGGGCATCATTGGGGTGTTCAAAGAGAATAGTGTAGCAACACAATCCCTCCAGCAAAGAGCAATGAATGGAAAAACATCTGCAGAAATGTCCGATCCTCCCTGCCAAGGAATCGTTTGAAAATGAAGGTGGTGATAGGAACTATTGGAGGAAAAAAAACAAAACAGAGAGAGCGAGAGAGAGATTTAAGCCTCTCTAATGAAAGCTGTATAGACTTTAGGTGCCTTAAGTTATTACTTTGGACTCTGTATTTTACATAAAGTAGATCTAAACAGTTAGTTTTTGATTTTTACAATAAGAGCAAATACTATATTGTTCAACTTAGAGGTAAAATATTACATACAATATTTTACAGGCTTTTTTTTAAGCAAACAAAACTGCTTTTCTGTAAAAGTAGAATGTATTTGAATATATGAAAATGTGGTTTAGATATCAGTACCATTATGGATATGGACATTTTTCCTGCATTTGTGGGATTAAAACAAATGACAATTTAATGCACATTTCACGAAAGGAAAGAATGAACATTAGGATTCCTTTTATTAACCTTTACATGAATAATGCAGGAAAATGAGAAAGTCTGACCAGTACCAACGTGTACAATGCTGTCCAATGTTTGTCTACAATGAAATGTTTGAGATCATTAAACACATTTTAATGCAAGACAGAGACAACCCAGGAAAACACAAAATGCGGTTTGTAAATGATGATTTCATTTATTGAAGGAAAAATGCTGTCCAGCCCCACCTTGTCTGATGTGGAACAGTACTTGCCCCCTTCGCTACCAATGTACTAAGGACCTTTCTGAGGATCCGTGCAGATCCCAGCATGCTGATCTTTTGGGTCTCTGTTACTGTAGCTCTCTCTGATACTTGCTTGATGTTTTCTGCCATCCCCTTCTTTATTGTACCAAGTGCACCTACAAGCACGGGGATCACGTCGGTGTTCATCTGCCACATTCTCTTTATTTCTAGCTCTAGATCTCTGTACTTGCACTTCTCCTTCTATGTCTTTTAGTGTGGTGTTTGTGTCCAATGGAATAGTCATATCAGTCAGTTTGCAGGTAGAATTCATTGAGTCTTTAATGACGATGTCTAGTCTGTTTGCTGCTATAGTTCTATCAGTATTGACTGGCAGGTCCCAAATGATGGTGATGTTGTTGTCTTTATTGTGCATCACAGTCTCCGGCTCATGCTCGAACCACTTGTCTGTAACCTGGATGTCGTGATCCTTACAGATGTTCCAGTAGAGATGTACTCTGTTTTGGCTAAGACACAACCAGATAGAATGTGATCCACTGTCTCTTCATGTATTATTTTTATTGTTAGTAGTAGTAGTAGTAATATTAGTAGTAGTAGTATATTTATTATACAGTCTATGTGACATAGGTGTACTGTTACTTTAAATCTGCACCGCCGTCTGGCGCGTATGACGTCATCACGCACCTTTCTCCTCAGCTCGTGGGAAACACTGAGGCATGGTAGGCGTCGCTTTTCTCCGCTGCAATATGAACATTATTTCGGTTTCGCTGCACATTAAATGTAGCAAAATGCAATTATAAGTGATAGGTTTTATGCTATGTGTGCTAAAGTTTGCAAACGCACTTTTAGAACTTCTAGGAGACATGTTTGTCTGCGTGTAGCTGTACCTGAGGGACAGACTGCTGCTGAACCACACAGACGGTTCATTTATTTTGTAGTACAGGTGTGTTCATTTTTAATTTTTTTTGTTCTTTATTTTATTTGCAATTAAACTGGTTGTGTTTTGTTGGGACTGGTGTTTGGTTATGCATGTTGTCCACATGGTTGTTTCTGCTGAACATTTTATAAATGTTTGGTTTTCATGAGCTGCTGAAACACTTGAACTGTCAGTAAAGACAGCTGATTGTGTGCAAAGCTACTGTCAGAAACGATCAGATGTGTGGGTTTGTTTGTATATGTGGCTGTGCTAGTAGAGAGACTGCTGCTTAACCACACAGACATTGTTTCATTTATTTTGTTGTGCAGATGTTGTGATGCCACCCAGAACCAGCAGCCACTGTGCTCCGGCTCATCCTTTTTCAATGTTATCACAACTCAATGCAAACTAGTAGGATGTGCCCCCATTTTTAAGGCTCTAAGACGAAGAGCCAGGTTTGTTACAACGGCATTGTGAGGTAGCTAAAAAGTCTCAAAAAGCTGCACATGATGCCTCGTTCTAAAGAGACTCCAGAACACATGCGGAACAAAGTCATTGACATCCATCAGTCTGGGAAAGGTTACAAAGCCATTGCTAAGGCTCTGGGACTCCAGAGAACCACAGTGAGAGCCATTATCCACAAATGGAGGAAGCACGGAACGGTGGTGAACCTTCACAGGAGTGGTCGGCCAAACAAAATTTCTTCAAGAGCACGTCAACATCTCGTCCAGGAGGACACTAAAGAACCCAGACCAACATCAGAAGAACCAAAGGCCTCACTTGCCTCAGTTAAGGTCAGTGTATCTATCTATCTCTATAAGAAAATAGTCCGGGAGAATATCCACCATCAGTTCATGACCAAAAGCTCAAGCACAAATGCAACATGACACCATGAAGTCCACCTCTGAATGGCTCAAAAAGAGCAAAATTGAGGCATTGGAGTGGCAGGGTCAATGTCTGGACTTGAATCTAATTGAGATGCTGTGGCAGGAGCTAAAAAGGCCAGTTCATGCTCAGAAACCATGTAAAGACTGATCACGGGCTATGGCAACCGTTTAACGGCAGTTGTTGCTGCACAAGGGCCCAACCGGTTAATAGGTTTAGGGGCAACTACTTTATCACAGGGCTATATATATAGGTTTTCAATAAATCATCATTTTAAAAAAGTGCATTTTGTGTTTTCTTGGGTTGTCTGTGTCTCTAAATAAAATGTGTTTTATGAGCTGAAACCAAATAGAAGATATCTGTTGGGGGTCAAATCTTTTTCACAGCACTGTACATGTTGGTACTGGTCAGACTTTCTCCTTTATTTGTGTTATTCTATGAAAGTTTAATAAAGGGATCCTTATGTTTATTCTTCCCTTTTGTAAAATGTGAATCGAGTTGTTTTGCTCACCAAGCCCACAAATTCAGGCAAAATGTCCATTTATCTCTCACCCATTTTCTTGTTATCACATATCCCAATAACTACTACGTTATTTATTTCATTTTATTGTTATCTAAGCTATATCTTCAAATATTCAAATACTCTTGTCACAAACCTTTATTTGTACTCTTTAAAATAAATGTCAAGCTTTATAGCTAAACAAATTAACAAAAAAAAAAAAAAAGCCCGAAAAAATAAAATTTTTAATATTTTGTTAAATTTTGTCTCTTTGATTATTTGTTCTTATGTAAAATTTTAAAGTCACTGTTTAGATTTACTTTGTTTAAAATACAGGATCCAAAGTAGGAACTTCATGCACCTAAAGTCAGTACAACTTTCATTATTGAGACTTAAGTCTTTTTTTTTTTTAATAGATTCTATAACCACCTTTTGTTTTTGATGACAAATTCAGTCCTCCTCAACATGGAGGATCCTACATTTCTGCAGCTATGTTCTGCCATTTATATACTATTATTTCAAGTCATATATTCATTTCACCTTTTTCTTGTGAAATCACAAGCTCTTGTAATTTTTTATTTTTTTTTTAAGCGTGCTTTAGATCATTTTAATGCTATAATGTTTCCATCCTGCCAACCATCTGCAGACTGGAAGTCATCTCATCAGCCAGTGTTTTGGTTTATCCACAGACGTTCATGGTGCATCTATAAATGTCCTCTCCTCAACACCTTTTGCAATTGTGCTGCCCATATCATCACACTCCCAGCTCTGTGCTTCACTGTCAGGACTATGCATTCACTGTGGCAGTCCTGGCCATGTTCACACCAAACATGCTAGAACCCATCTGAGCCAAACAAATTTATCTTGGACTCATCTGATCCTAAAGAATGTGCTCTCAGTATTCATCAGACGTCTTTTATGTCTTTTAGCAAAGCTTAACCTTGCAAAGAACAAGCATGTGTGTTTTTCTTGGATGCTGTCTACAGAGGTTGATGCTATGAACTGTCCTTCACACTGTCTGCCCTGTCACAGAAACCCATTAATAATCCCTGTGCCAAGTGTGATGTCTGGTTTTCAGAGGTAGAAGGATGACAACTGCAGCTCTGATTACTGTACTATAGCTTGTTCTATACCTCCTGATTAGTGCTGCAACTGATTTTTAGTTGGTCATTAATCTTCATTTATCATTTTCCACCGTTGTGAAGTCCCACAGTCACATCTTTCTATCCCCTCGAAATGCTTTTCAAACGTGGAGCCATGATGCAGACATGCAGATAGATTCTGCTCACAGCTCAGAAAGTGAGAAAGTTCTGGTGTTCACAGCTCATTTTAGCAGCATGTTCATACAGTTAGGCTAATTGGAAATCACTGTCACAGACTTTTTTTAAGTTTGCGTGTCAGTGCTCACAGATGTTTTCACTGTTGCACTCGAGAACTACAAATGAAGTCTGATCTCCTGCTGAAATCCATGAGAGCTTGTGGTGTTACGATAACACAGTTTCAACTGATGCTGAGGATGCAGAAGCCACACTTGCAAGTCTTACGGTGTAGAGAGTTTGCCACAAATTGTAAACCGTTCATTTTGCCTCTCTTAGGCCAGTCAAGTGTCTGCTGAGCCAACAGACAACATAGAAGGAGATCCAGACCAAGACAAGGTAGGCTATGTTCGGGCAGGGATTGCTGAATTTCAGAAAGACAAACATTTGCTCATTCTGTTTTCCTGTTAAGATCCAGACTGAGTCTAACACCGTCCCAGATGTTGGCCCGAAAGCAGGTTCTTCATCATCTGATAATGAAGAAGATCCTGTGGTGTGTGAGCTTATAATGAATTCAAAGGACTTTATCCCAAATAAACCAATTTTAATAAGTGATAATATCGGGATGGTTACAACTGATAATTTTCTGTCTCTTAGGTCGATCATGTGTCTGCTGGGCCAACAGATGTCAGAGGGGGAGATCCAGATCATGAAACGGTAAAGTATATATTCTGTGCATTTACTGGTTTAGAGTTTTATTTTTGGGGCCAGCTAGAATATGTTCACATTTGAACCAGACTCCAGTACACAATGTTTTCATGCAGCGGTGTCCTCCAGTATTACAGCTTCAACATCACAATGGTCTGTGATCATTTTATCAGAGCTAATGGTGCCATTAACCATGCTGGCCAAGGGTTCTCCTGCATAGAAGCCTCCTAAGAGGTTTTAGCAAGGACCTAATGATAACAACTGAGAATCACAAGAACAATTTAGGTTTTCAACCACTTTTGTTATGTTTTGTTCATGAAATGGGCAGAAATACCGGTAAAATGTACAGATTTCAGATAACAGACTGCATGTGGATCGATGTTTCTTACTGTGATATGTAGTAACCCCCTAAAGGCCCACTCTGAGCCAAGAGGAATCCTGTAGCCACATAGTGTGCAAACACTAAGGATTTTCTTTTTTTTAATCATAGAATCATTTCCATTGAAAATAAAAATAATCCTCTGGGTCTTCAGTTCCTCAGATGCTGGGAGTGCATGAAGACTCTTGTGTTCACTCTTGCAGCCAACAGCAGAACATACGTTGTGCGTTTCTTGTATCTGAGATATTCTGAAGTTAACAAAAGCAGTTCAATGCTCGTTTGAGGCGTTAAGCAAATGTGTTACATGTTGATGTAGATAAGTAACAGAAGAAAAACCTGGACTTTTAAAGCCGCAGTTTTTTTTTTGTTTGTTTGTTTTTTCCAAGTTTGCAGACCTTTAACATGCATAAAAAGCAGCTATGTAGCACACTAAAGGAAGGTAAAAAAAAACAAAAAGCATAGTGCTGGCTCTTTAATTTCGAAAGAAAAACATTCCCTCATTCTGTTTTCTTGTTAAAATCCACGACAGCTTGCTGCGAGTGATTACAACACCGTTGACGACGACGATGACGGTGACAATACAGATTCTTCCTCATCAGATAGTGAAGCCACAGATGAAGATCCTATGGTGTGTGAGCTTCTAAGAAATCACAATTGTTTGTTCCAAGTATTAAAATGATCACATTACGATACTCATCGCGAAATTCATCGTTTTTTCCTTCGTAGGCTGATTATGTGTCTGCTGGGTTAACAGAAGATGGAGGAGGAGATCCAGACATGGTAAGCGGTGCATGCAGAACAAAACAATGCAGTAATACAGATAGAATTATTAACTTTCTGAATCCCAAAACCTACTGGCAGGTTTGAAAGTCATTTTATCTTTTAAAAGTAAGTAAAATTACACCATTTATCAGGCAGAAAAACAGAAAAAATAGTCGGGTTCAACCTTTCAGCAGTCCTAAAATAAGTGTGTGATCTCGAGTTTGGCAGAACAAAATTATCCAAATCTAAACTTCACCCAAAATCACCTTTATTTACTCATGTCTCATTTAAAAAACAAACACAAAAAACACCCAAAATTAATAATGTGAACTAAGCAGATTTGCAATAAATAAATAAAAATCTGCACCGCTCGCACAACTGAGAAGCCATTAGGGACTTTGTTACAAGCAAAAGTCACATAATAAAAATTCTGCAATGAAATCAACTGAACTGCAGGCTGTGTTTGAACAGAGCAGAGGGTTAATGTTAATGTAGAACCATTTATCTCCCTATTTTTATTTTTATTTTTTTAAACTTAGGCAGCATCTGACAAAGTTTTCATCAATAGCTGCAAGGTTTGCATGAGGATGAAACCAGACAAACGAGTTGGTAGTGTGTTGTGCATACATCCAAGGCATTAGTCCAACTTTTATCAATTTTTCGTGTCTTAAATAAAAATTTACCACAATAATTCATCCATCCATTCATATCATATCAGACACTTTTAGTGTATTTGTCTTCCTCAGTGTTTTAGTAAGCTTAAGCTCTTACTTAGTTTGGATCCATGTGTATCTGAGCATATGTAGGTAAAAGTGTGCTTCTATATATGAACGTGAAGATATTTAGTTTTTGTGTTTCTCTCCTGCACATGGCCCTTAGATTGGGTGTGTCTTTGCCTTTTCTGTATTACAGTATGGAGGAGTGATGAGTCCCATTTCATCTGATGACGAAACTACAGAAGAAGATCCAATGGTTTGTTTTTCCATATGTTGTATTCTAAAATTTAAATCCTAAAGATTCCATATTGTGCACGTTTACAGGTGTAAAATTTCATTTTTACCATCTTCTAGAACATTACATTTACATATTTTAATGAATATAGGCTGTTTAAAAATATTTAAATATTCTTTTTGTATGGACATGTTTGTCTTCTGCTCTGTGATACATTATTAGGAGCAGTTTTTTGACCCTAGCTTCAGTGAGGAAAAGAAGATTTATGCTGGTTCCTCAGTGACAACAGGAGCTCTCCTGCTTCTCCTCCTGGTCTTCATCCTGAAACACGGTCTGTCGAAAGCGGCAATCAAAGACCTGCTGGACCTCCTGAACTTCATGGTGCCTGGATGTGCTCCAAAGTCCTGGCAGTTTTTTAAGAAACATTTGACTGGCACTAATGACAAGACGGAGCTTCACTTTTACTGTCCGAGGTGTACAAGCTACCTCGGTGTTGAGCCTGGTGATGAATGTGGAGTCTGCCAGAAGAGCCTGAACAGAAAAAGCCTCCTAGATAAGGCTTACTACTTCCTCGTAATGCCACTTGAAATTCAGCTCAGAAGCATTCTTTCAAATGTCCACACGAAGCTGGGGAAGCATTTCACAAGGGAGACTTCCATTTCTGATGTTAACACGGGAACCGGATACAAACATGACAGGCAGGATGCCAGTATTACGCTTAGCTTCAACTGCGAAGGCTCTCCAGTGTTCAGCTCATCCAAGTTTTCAGTTTGGCCCATCCTGTGTACGATCAACGAGCTTCCATATGCTGAAAGATGTAAAAACGTTCTGCTGCACACGCTGTGGTTTGGCCGTGGCAAACCACAGGTTCAGAGTTTTTTCACGCCGTTTATTTATGAAGTGCAGAAACTCTCAGAGGCAGGGTTCTGTTGGAGAGACGAGACCGGCTTTGAACGTCACACCAGAGTAACAGCTCGAGTTTGTGTTTGCGATGCAGTAACAAGGGCAATGCTGCAGAACTTTAAACCATTCAACAGAGTGTTTGGATGTGGTTTCTGTTACCACAAAGGTGAGATGGTTCAGAAGGGCAGCACTTACACAAGAGTTTACCCTATCCAGATGGACGGCTGTGACCTGAGACATATGGTTGAGACGGTGCAGATCGCGGAGTTTGTCATGGAAAACGATGATGATGAAGATCAGATGGGTGTTAAAGGTCCAAGTCCACTGATTCTGTTGCCGTCTTTTGACATTATCCAAGGGTTTATTCCAGATTACATGCACTGTGTTTGTCTCGGTGTCACTCGTCAGTTCGTCAATCTTTGGTTTGACCCTCTTTATGCCAACAAGGGCTTCCATTTGACACGTCGGCATTTAGCTAACCTGGACAAAGCAATTTGTGAGATCCAGCCGCCAGATGAAATCAGACAAAGCCCTAGGTGCCTTAGTGAGAGGATGTATTGGAAAGCCTCTGAGTGGAGAGCATTTGCTCTCCTCTATTCTCCTGTTATACTGAGGAATGTCTTACCAATGTTGTACTACAAACACTGGATGCTTCTTGCTTGTGCGCTTCACACCCTCCTCTCCCAGTTTGCCACTCAGGATGAGCTGAACTGTGCAGAGCTTTGTCTGGTCCAGTTTGTAGCAAAAATCCCGTCTCTCTACGGACTTGAGCACTGTTCCTATAACTGCCACTTGCTGACCCATCTCACTGAGAGTGCTCGGGACTGGGGTCTTTTATGGGCCAATTCAGCGTTCGTCTATGAAAACATGAAGGACAGACTCTTGCAGATGTACTCTGGCACAAAGTCAGCTTCATCACAGATTTTCAAAAATGTCTTTTCATATGAGAAGGTTGTGAAAAAAGGTAGCGCTGTACTTGAGGATGAGAGCACAGAAATGAAAGATTTCTTTGGCTCCATGACCAATTGTGATATTGTTGCTGAGCCTACGGATTGCATCAGAGAACATTTAGTGACTCTGGGATGTGGTTCTTGTAGATCTTTAACTGCAAGAGAAGTTGCTGCATTGCAAAAGAGCGACACACTCACATGGTGCCATCGTCAAAGTGTAACTGAATATAAGCGTTGCATTTCCAAAAACATGTTAGTCGCCTCTTTAGACGACAGCGTTGCAGTCAAATGGAACAATTCTGTGATAGAAACAACCAGCTGCTTTGCTCTGGTTGAGTCTTTGGTTGTTGTGCAGAAACCCTGCAGCTGTGAACGAAGCACCAACTGCTCCTGCAGAGAACTTATCATTTTCTACAAGCAGCTGCAGCGAGTGAGCAGACAGCCGGCCATCCATGACTCACAGATCAACGCAAACATCGCAAAATTCCTCGTTAAAGTGAGACGCTCGGGTGAATTGTGTGCAATGACATGCGTGGACATTACTGCCAAATGTATTATGATTGAACATGAGGGTCAGTTATATGTCATGAAAATGCCCGTGTTTGAGACGAGGTAAATGTCTCTGGCTTTAACATTGGTTCGTTGTGATGTCGGAGTAGGTCCACATTCACACAGCAGGATTGTGTGATATGACTGTAAATTGTGTAAGATATAGCCTTCCTGTTACTGTATTTTAGGCCATTGTGGGCCTTTATAGCACTTTTTAGGTAGAACTTTTGCATTTAGTACTTTAACTTAGCATTATATTATTAACCCTCTGAACCCCAAAACCCACCAGTGGGTGTGAAATGCATTTTTGCCAAAGTTGAGCCATTTGTCAGAGACAGAAACAGTGAAAGATTTCCCATGGTCCTTGAAGAAATTATGTATGCTACGCTAGTCAAATTTGAGCTTAAAGTTATGATATTTTATCAAAAACACTTTATTCTGCATGTCTCATTTGCACAAGATCCTGTTTAAAAAAATTTAAAATAATTCTGCACTTTTCACAACAGCATGATAAACTGAGCTACGACCAACAGTCACATGACAAAACCTGTGTGACTTTTAGGATGAACTGCAGGAAGGGTTTACACAGAGCAGACATTCCATGACAAAAGAGACTGAAAGAAACTGCAGTCTGGCTTACAAAGGTACACAAGTTATCAGCATGTTGGAAGATACATTCAGCATGGTGAAACGTTTTTCTACTGTTGGTGTGTAGAGCAGTGTGAAAGTACTAAAAATCATACTTCAATAGCATATGAGGACTTTTTAAAATTCCTGGGGGTACTTGGAAAAAGGTTGTATATATCGATTACAGGTTTTTGAATTTTTGTAAAACAAATAGTTTTTAAAAATGTTTCCACTGAGGCGCAGGATGTTGTATTACAGTGAAAAATAAGTCCACAGTGGGTAAAACTTTGACAAAAAGACACCCAGAAACTGGAGTTCAGAGGGTTATCGTTGTAGAATTTGTGAACATTTTGGTGTCGTACACAGAATGTATACTTGTAAATACAGTATTTTGTAGTGAATGTAAAGTAAGGTCAAATGCTTCTATTTTGCATTCAAATATGTGAAAGATGTCAGTGAATGTGAAAAGATCTTGTTTGGCTCCGTTTTGCTTTAATGAAACCTGGTGAGCCGCGTTGTCCCTTCATTATGTGACCAAAGAGCTTCTGGTCATGTCAGGTGTAATGTTTGACTTCATCAGGCTTTACATGCTCCCATTAAGGCTCAGTGGGGTTGAGGTCAGGAGGCTTTGGAGCCAAGTCCTGGACAGTCAACACTCCTTCAAAGCTTTGAGGTGTTGTTTGGGCTTGTTGTCCTACTGCAGCACAAATCCTTCTCCAATCTGGTCTTGTGTAGGAGGATTTTGGGGCTGCTTTTGCTTGTTTTATTTTGTTAAATGTGCCTTTTGGTATTCTAATCAGATGATATTCAAATCTTCTTTCCTGTTGCTGTTGACAGAAATCAAAAACCTTAATGAGCATTATACCCTCCAAATATTCTTATACCAACACTGGCACTAGAGGTATGATGCTGTGGTACTAACATGGTGCCTGAATCTGATTTAAAGTTTTGAGATAAGCAACACACTGATCAGCCACAACATGAAAACCACTGACTGCTCCATCATCTTGTACAATTCTACAATTTCATGTGGCAGAAGCTTTTATCCAAAGCGACGTACATCTGAGAGCAGATACAACACAAGCACGGATCTAGTCAGGAGAAAACAACCTAGATAAGTGCCATAGAACAATCTTATCGATGTGCCGACAGGTCAGAGTTACTTGCAGCACAAATCAGACCAACACCACGTTTGGCAGCTGGTTTTACTTCTGTAGCTGATCGGTATTTGTCATGTGTTAAACTGTTCCCTTTGCACTACTATTTTTCCTTATCCATCAGTGTGATTTATTGAATTTCTTTTGGATGTTTCACCACGCCCGGCACCACAGAGCTTGTTCGCTTGTTGGGGTGCGTAATGTGTATATTCAAAAAGACCTGACCCCGTGACAATCTAAGTGGGATTGAAGCATAGTTAGTCAATAAAAACATCTTTGTGACACAAAGTAAGTGTGTGGTAAACTCTTCTTTTTTCACTATACTGTTATAACATTTGATACATGCTGAGGTAACCACTGGTGTCATTACTGGAGCTACTGTAAGAGACGGACTGTGTTAGTACTGTTGTATGCTGTTGTAAATGATATGTTTCACTTTCATATGAAAACATCATCACAAAGGTGAAGTATGGTGGAGGCAGCATCATGATGACAAGAGCTTCTAAAGAAGAAAAAAGTGAAAACTATGACCTGGTCTGTCGCCTGACTTGAGTCCAGTAGAACACCTTGGAGGTATTTTATAAAGAAAATCAGAGCAACAAAGCCTCAATGGAGCAAAGAGCAGCTGCGAAAAGATAGTCCATGAAGAATGACCGTGGTATCCTCCATGCTGAGGACTGTCATTAAACGTAACGGTGTCACACTGTTTTATTTTAAATAGAGTAAATCGAAAGTTTTTAATTTAGCATAAGCGCAAACACCCTGTAGTTCAACTTAGAGGTTGTACGAGTACTGTAAGGTGGTACATTTTTAAAAATATTTGGCATTAAAGTGATGGTTGTACTCACTTCTGTCCTGTACTTTACCATACCAATGTAATATATACAGTCATCCTCAAATTTATTCATACCCTCCCATTAAAGAAGGAAAAAGACAGCTATCACTGAAATACGTTGAAATTGACAAAGGTAACAATAAATAAAAAGTTAGTGAAAATCATGACATTACTTTGAATTATGGTTCAACAGAAATATTTTTTTTAAAAAACAAAAACGAGCAAACGAGCATGATGGGACACGTGAAGTAATATTTTGTTGAACAACCCTTTGAGCCGATCACTGCAATCAAGTGTTTTCTGCAACAATCAGACTTCTGCACCTGTTGACAGGTATTTTGATTTTCGCCCACTGCTCATCAGCAAAGTGCTCTAATTTATCCGGGACAGTATTTTTATTATTTTTTTTCTTAAATTATTCTTTTCAACCACAATTCAAAAGCAATGTCTTATTTCACTTACTTATAATTTAGCAAATTTTTATCTATTATTACTTTTTTCAGTTTCTACTTATCTGAGGGACTATTGTGAATTTTACCATTTCTTTAATGGAAGGGTATGAATACATGTGAGGACGACCATATATAACACACACTACAGTCTCACCCAGCCTCCACTTCCTCCCCCCATCCTTCCCTCCCTGCGGGTCTCTGCAGACTCTGGGTCTGTTGTCCACTGTCATGGCTCCCAGGGGAGCTGCTGATCCTCCTTGTTGTCCTGCTGACGGGTTGCAGCCCCTGGACGCTGCTCAGGACATTCCTATCAGCATTCCTCTGACCCGTTGACCTGCCGTGACCCCGCAGGGCTCCTCCTCTCCTGGTGTCCACGCAGCTGCCGCCCGTCAGTCACCGCTGAAATATAGACGTCTGAAGGAAGCTGCCTGCGTCATGAAGTCAGTGTTTATTAGGATGCAAATCGCAGGCTCAGTAGTTTTAATATTTACTGTGTATCAGTACGTTTAGCCCTCCTTGTCATGCTTAGATGTGACCTTAAGGGACATTGTGGATGCACAAATATCTGCATATTTTCCCTTTCAGCAAATAGCCACTTGAAAATTAGGTTCTGTTACAATTTTAGCAGAAATTCATGTATAGAACAGATTGTGCTTTTGTTCTGCTGTGAACTACCCTGCATTAATTTCCCAGCTTGTCAAAGAACAGCAATAAAACAGTTGTGGAAGACATAGATAATAGATAATAGTATTTTTATAGCTGATTTTTAAACAGCATGTTGGGATACAAACATAAAAGTAAGTCTTTCTAGACTTTCTTAAAATTTTAAACTTGCTATTTCTTTATTAAGTTTAGCAACTGAAGGTAATTAGACAAATAATCTTTCTGAAAGTGGCCAGCTGGCTGCTTTATTTTTTTATTTTTTAATTTCTGAATGCTTATAATCATTGTTTGCATAGTCTTTTGAGAAATGCATTAAGACATTTTGAGAAACTATTGACTAAAAAGAAATAAAATATGTCCTAGTATACTCAAATTGAAGCAACAACAAAAACCGTTACATTCATGCACATTACTGTCTTTATTTTGTGATCTCTTTTAGTGTGATTTTTTTTCTGCAACAGGCCTGTGTTGTGTTGCAGAAGCATCGTGCTCGCCAGCAGCTCTGACATTTCATCCAACACTTTGTGACCGGAGGTGACTCTGAAGTTGTCAACACTCTGCCAGTGGCTCTGTGAAGACATAATGATGCAGCGTCAGTCTGCTGCTTTCAGGTAAACTCTGGTGCTCCATCGTGCTGGAACAACGTACAACATAAATGGTTTTGAGGGGCATTTTGCACTTATTTTTGCCACACTACATCCATTTCTGCAGGTATTAAAGCTCAAACTATCCAATGAAGTAAATGCTGTTCACACACAGTCATCATGGAACTTTTCATGATGGCTTAAATTGTATTTCATTTTTCAACCATAATCACAGATGATTTGATCTACTCATCTAGTATTGCAGATTCTGAATCAATGACACGGGGGAGAAATAGCAGTGCAAATGTCAGGCTTTTATCTTTTATGTTTTTTTTTAGATATTGTTGTTGAAACATAGCTGCAAATTTCAATGTGCAAAAAACAAAACCAGGCTAAAAGTGGGTCGACTGACAATTTCTTTAAAAAAAAAAATTCTAGTATCAAGAATTTCATATATCAAGCTAAAAAATGTCACATATATCTTAATAAATATCCATATTTTATGCTATATAATTTTCTTTCAAATCATAGATACTCAATCAGAAATTGTTTTAAAAGTTCATGATTCATGATTCAAGTTCATGATGGAGCGGTGGTCAGCATCGTCGCCTCGCAGCAAGAAGGTCGCCAGTTCGCGTCCTGGTGGGGACACCCGGGATCTTTCTGCGTGGAGTTTGCATGTACTCCCCGTGCGGTGTGGGTTCTCTCCGGGTTCTCCGGCTTCCTCCCACAGTACAAAACATGTTGAGGTTAATTGGTGATTCTAAATTGTCCGTAGGTGTGAATGTGAGTGTGCTTGGTTGTCTGTCTCTAAGTGTAGCCCTGTGATAGACTGGTGACCTGTCCAGGGTGTCCCCTGCCTTCACCCTAAGTCAAGTGGGATAGACTCCAGACCCCCGCAACCCTAGTGAGGATTAAGCGGTGTATAGATAATGGATGGATGAGTCAATACTCCTCTGACATCTGATACTTTCAGAACATTCATAATTTTGTAGGACTTTTAATTCAGCGATTGAGTGTGAGCAGAGAGGAGAGAAAATATACGGAACTGCCCTTTATTCCCTGGACAGGAAACAAAAGGTGGAAGATAAACCAGACACACCTGTGAGCTGAAAAACACAAACAAAGGCCTTGTGGAGGAGAACAGATGGAGGAGTGGGAGCAGGAAAAAGAGGACAGAACTGGAGTCTAATTCTGGACGTGTTTGCTGTAAAATGTGACGTATAAAAGTAAACAGAGTTGTTGCGAGAACCGGATCGGATTCGCTGAAATTTTGTGGAGAAAAAGCTGATCCACAGAGCAGAGATGGAGGGAGCTGCTTCAGCAAACAGAGCTGGACTTGTGTGTCTCCGACCTACAACTCTCGTGGTTCAGGTTCATGACCACTTTCCCTCCTCCTCTGCTTTGACGTTAAAGGTCCTCGCAAACACATCTTACAAATGAACTCAACTATATTCATCTTGATTCAGAAAGGTTGTTTCCTCTCCTGAACACAAATTCAACTCGGCACATTTAAAACAACCGGGGTTGACCAAAGTGCTGTACACATTAAAAGCAAGATAACCAATACAATGCAGCAATTGCAATAAATAAATAATACTAAAATACATAAATACACTGCTATAAAATAGAATAAAATAAAATAGAATGAAATTAATTAAAATGAAATTAAAATTTTGCCAAAAATTCAAGACATCAGACATCTTGAACTGGAAGCTTGACAATTATCTGACGGCCTCATCTTATTTGTTGCATTGAAGACTTTTTGGTTTTCCGTACCAGGGCTTTTTAAGTTTGGTTTTCTACTCATATTTGGACTCTGAATATAGTTTTCTGATGATATTTGGACTCATAATTTGTTGTTGTTGTTGTTGTTGTTGTTGTTGTTGTTGTTGATATCTGATCTCTAAATTTGGCTGTGTATTCTAATTGTGATTCTGAATTTGGATTTCTGATGATATCTGGACTCTGGATTTAGTTTTCTGTTGATATTTAGATCCAATTTGTTTTTTTTAATTGTTTTTTTTTTTAGTCTGAATTATTTTTTGTTGTTGTTGTAGATATTTGGATTCTAAATGTAGTTTTCTGTTGATATTTGGACTTTGAATTTCGATGTCTGTTGATATTTAGACTCTGAATGTAGTTTTCTGTTGATATTTAGACTCTGAATGTAGTTTTCTGTTGATATTTGGACTCTGAATGTAGTTTTCTGTTGATATTTAGACTCCAAACTTCATTTTCGCTTAACATTTTGACTCTGACTCATATTTTCCGGTGACATTTAGACCCTGACTTTGGCTGTCGGTTGATATTTCGAACTCTAATTTTTGTATTCTGTTGATATTTGAGCACTTAATTTGGCTTTCCAATGACATTTAGAACCCTGAGTTGGGTTTTCAGTGGATTTAGGCTGACTTTAGCTTTCTGTCAATATTTTGAATGTGATTTCTGTTGACTTGATGGCCATGTGGAAATGTTTCGATCTTTAAAGCTGAGCATCGTGTCATTTCCACAACTCCAGTATGAACATTCACCTGCACTAGCCGCTTTACTGATATCTGTAGTTACATTAAGGCTTTCAGTACTTGTTCCTCCTCTCATCATGGCCACCGTGACTTGTTCAGTCCCTTAAAGAGGAACAGACACGATAATTCACTAAATGGTTCCTCCTTCTTCAGCTTTGAGTAATAAACCTTAATCAGGCAGCGCTGCCAAATCACAAAATCTGGCTGCTCCTCTGTCCCTCTACTGTCTCTTCTTATGTTTCTGAAATCCCAGATGAAGCCACATAAAGTCGTCACTCAACCTCAAACCTTTCCTCGTGTGTTTGCAGATCAAGTTCTTAATTAGCTCTGTTTTTTATGTTTTATTTACTGACTTGTCTCTCAGGCTGCTCTGATCACTTTAATAGACTTTATTGAGATGCTGCCCAACCTCCTGCAGTGTATGTTTGCAATTTAGCATCATCCACAAATCTTAAAATGAAAAAAGAGACAAACAGTCTGCAGCTGGTTTTGTTTTTCACGCCCAAGTTTCCAAATCAAGCTGACAAATTACAAGCTGTCTGGAAAAGAAGGGAAAAAAAGGAATCTTTCATTATTATTTATTCAGATTTCTCCAGTGATTTATAGTGATTCAGGATTTTATCTGCAGGCAATTTGTAAAAATGATTTGATTCATTTGCTATATTTTGGGGACTCTGAGGTATTTACAGACATACAGAATCTCAGATGTGGTTTATATTTATTGTGATGTCTTGTATGCACATACTTGATTAAACCTATAAACGTCATTCATTCAGCGATCATAACAAACCTGTTTTTAAAAAACTGGACCTCAACTTTTCTGTCTTTTCAGTATTAAGGATGGCAGCCTTCTGACTGAGCTGCTGTCTGGTGATTTCCCCCCAATTTCTATCATTTTCATCTGTTCTGGTTCTTTCTTTTTTCTTTTTTCCTCCACCTCTCCAAACTGTTTGTGCAAATTTAATTTGGATGCACTTGTGGCTCTCTGTGGATGACATTACGTCACCTCCTGCACCTCCTCCTCCTTCACAACCCAGGGGCCTAAAACCCGTCTCCCTCAGCTCTGGTGATGCCGACTGAGAATGTTGTATTTTCATATCCTTAAGTCTTCTGATTGATCATAAAAATCTACATTTGTCACATTAATTTTGTTTTAATTAGTTTTAATTAAACAATTGTACTCCAACAATAAGCCTCATCTCCCCCACAGATGGATGCCTTTAATATAAACTCTAGAAAAGCTCAAGTTTTTGAGTCGTTTATGGCTGACTGCGATATTTTAAAGCCTCCAGTGTGCTACACAGACAAACTTTTGTGAATTTACAGAAACAATTAATCATTCATCAAGTCTTAAACGATTTCTGACTTTTTTTTTTTTCTCCTCGGCTGCTCCGAGGTTCCAGGTGGGTCGAGGGATGAAGCCCAGGTCCCCTGGTCTGCACCGGGCCATCACGAACAGCGGATCAGCCCTCAGGTTCTGATGTCTGATCTGTGGAGACGAGGTGGGAATAAAAACAGGTCAGAGCAATTCATGGTCAAGCTATACCATATATTTTGGACAAACTGTTGAGAATTCAAACAAATCTGGAGTCATTTTGGACCATTTTTGTCTTTCTGGACTTTTTTTTTTTTTTTTGGATTCACGATTCAAGAACCTTTATTTGTCACAAACACAATTATACACAGTGTAATGTACTGAGCACCTGTTACTGACCGAAAGAATAATGAGAAGAAAAATAAGAATAAACAATAAAAATGTGTGTATAAATAAATATACACAGATAGACGCACGGACGGACAAATCAATAGATAAATCAAAGTGCAGCATCTATCCATTATCTCTACACCTTAATCCTCTCTAGGGTCGTGGGAGGCTGGAGTCTACCCCAGCTGACTCAGGGTGAAGGTAGGTTCACCTGGACAGGTAACCAGTCTATCACAGGGCTACACTATGCCTAACCCTAACCCACCTGCAGCCCCAAAGTGCAACAAATATATGTATACACAAGACAAAAGCAAACAGTTCGTCTATTAAGTCATCTATTTTTGAGACATTTAACATGTATTTGGACAAACTGTCAGTAATTTTAAACTCTTTCCAGTCATTCAGGACACGTTTCTGTCATTTTCAACCATTCTGAGTCACTTCTGACAAACACTGAGTCATTTTTGGGAATTTTTTTTTGTAATTTAGGAGATTTTTGGGTACATTTAAATAATTTTAAGTCATTTTTAAATACAAATAAAGATTATTATTATTATTACTATTACTATTATTATTTAAATACTGCTACTATTTCTACTTGATCTGCTGTACAAGCTGTAATAAGCTCCTGAAATATCCCAATCCGGGCTGAGGGGGTTCGGTACCGTTCTGGTTCGGGCTCCTGCAGCTCCTGTCCTCCGCCGACCTCCTTGGCCGAGTTGCTGACGACAGATCCGGGGCTCTGCAGGATCTTCTTCAGCTTCTGCAGCCTCTGCTGGGCATCTGGAACTTTGTCTGGGTCCTGCAGATGACAGAAAACACAAGTTACTACTACTGAGGTCCATCGGTTCATCGGTTCAGGCACCAGAGACGCTGCTCTTCAACATTCAGTGTTCAGGGTCGTTCTTCAAATCCTGTCACTCTGAACATTTAATTGTCATTTTTAATAATGGATTTATATCATTTCAGACCATTTTTGTCACTTCTAACAAATGTAAAGTCATTTCCAGCATTTGTTCTGGTCGCCATGGGGCACATTTTAAGCCGTTTGGACCTTCTTTTGTCCTACTCGACAAATCAGGAGCCAGTTATGTTGGACATTGTGGTGTTCTTACCGCCACCATGGGTCTGAGAATAGCAACTGCTTGCTTCACGTCCTTCTCCACCTGCCTCCTGCTGGCCTTCGCCTCCTTCAGCTGGACCTTCACTTCTTCTATCTCTGCTGCCCTCTGACGAGCAGTCTCAGACGCTGAGGCCCGTTCCCGTCTGAAAACAACAACAGAGAACTGAGTCGGCTGCAGCACAGTCAGGCTGCATCGCACTTCAGGAATCAGTGTATAGATTCAGTGCTCAGAACACACAAAAAAGTACGACTTTAACTGTTCAACTCAAGAAAAACAAGCTAAATCTGTAAAAAAAAAAAAAAAGCTTGTTTGTTTTTTACATTTTAAAAATAGTAATTTGTTCTTTTGTAACGTTTACCATAAAACCACGCAGCTTTACTGTCTTTAAATTAGCCAACAGTACCCTCATTTTACAGATGTGCCCTGTGGTTCTACAGCGTTTGAACATTCCGGCACTCTGCTGCCACCGTGGTCAACATATGACACCAAACATGGATCTCGTGTCTGCTCTACAGAAGCACCTTCATGACAACAATGTTACTGTGAATCTCAGGTGTGAGCTGCAGATGAACTATTCACCTGAGAGTCTGTTCTTCATCCAACACGCGCTGATGGAGGCTGCTGTTCTTCTCCTTCTGAGACTGCAGCTGCTTGCACTTCTTGGTCCACCTATCCACCTCCTGGAAGTAGAGTGTGGGGATTTTTTTAAAAACAAGGACTGAGTAGAGGAGGTTCGGATGCTGACGTGTATGTTTGTCAGCAAGCTGATGTCTTATCTTTCAAAAAACCTCGTTGGTGATGTTTTAACTCAGCCACCAGGGATGGTTATTCAGCCATGAATCGTGTT